ATCGACCCAGAACAGCGCCTGGCCGTGTGTCTGAGGTAAAAAAAAAATTAAGTTTATTTGTAATGAAATCAGTTTAGTTCACAAGCACATCTGTGCTGATTTGACAACTGTGTTACAACTGCATTGAAATAAGCTAACAACTGATCATCACTTCTACCACTTTGCCATTTTCCATTAGCCAACATTTTATTTGCCTCATATTTTTTGCTTTTTTCTCTGGCTGTTAACCACACATAAAGAGGAAAACTGATTTCTGCTTTTGAAACATGTCACAGAATTGACACGTGATTTTTTTTCCAGCTAGTTAGATCATAGGCCATTTGTAACTGATATCTGATGCAGAAACAAACACACTATTAATTTATGAATCTGTTAAAATAAACATATACAAATATGTCTTCGTTATTTTTTGCAGATTTCTGAGCAGTGGTGATTCGTTAACAACAATAGGAGCCAGTTTTCGCCTTGGAATTTCAACTGTAGCACAGATAGTCAGAGAGACCTGCACAGCAATCTGGGAGGTCATGAAGCAATCTCACATGCCATCTCCAACAGAAGAGATGTGGTTGAACACTGCCAGGAGGTTTGAAGGGCGGTGGAATTTCCCCCACTGCATAGGTGCATTGGATGGAAAGCATATTGTTATCCAGGCTCCTTCTAACTCTGGCTCCCAGTTCTTCAACTACAAGGGCACCTTCTCTATTGTGCTGCTAGCACTTGTGGATGCAGATTACAAATTTCTTGCTGTTGATGTTGGAGGTTTTGGCAGCAACAGTGATGGGGGCATCTTTGCCAACTCTCGCCTTGGCAAAGCCCTGCAGTCAGGTGACCTTCATGTCCCATCAGCCTCTCCTCTCCTTGCTGCACCTGACCTGGGACCAGTACCTTATGTGGTTGTAGCTGATGAGGCCTTTCCCATGAAGCCTTACCTTCTTCAGCCATATCCAGGCCGTCGCCTTCAGGAGGATTTAAGAGTCTTCAATTACCGCCTCTCCAGAGCCCGTCAAGTTGTGGAAAACGCTTTTGGTATCCTCACTCAACGCTGGCG